CTATAACTGTGATTTTTGTAACGCTTATCAATCGGGAAACGTCAGGTATTTTACCAGGAACCTTTACAAAGTTCGAACATCATTAGTCGTTTAACTTCAGTGGATTCACATCGGATATTAAAATTTTTACGAAAACATTACCTAACTTCAACGGTGGAAAACCTAGCGTGTGTGGCCAAGGACAAAGCTAGCTTCACGGCGAATCGTACTTACATCAACTCGTAATTAACTCGCTCATCGTAAGCCCTCGATAAGATATCAAGGAAGTTCCAAACTAGAAAATATTTTATATTGTTTGTAAGTTTGTGAAACTTGTGTTAATAAATCTTTGTTGGTAATAACTATATGTGATAATTGTTACTGTAAATTGTATTGTTATGCGAATATTCAAACGTATTTGTGTTAAAATCAAAGACTGTGTGTATCAATCTTGTTGGCAAATATCGTAAATTGACTAATATATCGGCATACATTTAAATACTAAATCCAAAGTACAATTTAAGTACTAAATTTAAATTATCAATTAACTCGGCTTCGGACTATTCGAAATTCTAATACGTAACACTACTATTACACGTGTTTGGATACATATGGCCAGTGTAGCATTGACTCCATGTAATTTTAATACATCTTTTCTAAGATGGTAAAGTTGTTGAGTTCAGGTCGCAGACTAGCCTGACACAACGTACGTCTGGGCTGCAACGTATTTTCTGTTCTGGTTGTAACCCACCAGAAATACAACTGGTTTTTAAGTACTATGTAATGTGCACATACATACGTACGTACACGAAACAAAAAAGCTTCATTATAGTATCGAAAAGAAAGCGTTACAGAACAGAAACTCTATATCTTCGATTCTTATTTAAACTTAAAAGACAAAACTTAGGGCTTTGCTCTAATTTCTCATTCAACACTGAACAATTTTAACGTTGTTTAAGTTAAAGCTGAGATTCCAGCAGCCAGACGTAAATACTAACAACAAAATACGTTTGTTCGAAACGAAGCGTAATATTTTAACAATTGGATTTTTTTTCTTCGCGCGCATTTTCCTTTGGTTTATTTACCGCTACGTATATTTATCGTATTTTGATGCTTTACACTGAGTAAAAAAAGGAAAACAAAAATCTTCACGAAAATGAGTTCACACAGAAATGTCACCCTTCAAATACAAAATCGAAAACGCAACGTTAACTAACAGTTTAAAATCACAATTAAAACTTTAAAGTGCAAAAGGTGAAGGGTTCTAATCCTCATAAAGCTGCGATTACGTACATTTACCGTGTGTACTCAAATTAACTTAGAAATCTGAAAACACCACAACTGCATCACTGATCCATCCTGTGATTAAAGTAACCCACCATACACAGACAAATTAAGTATAGGAAGAAGCTCTTGAAGAAGTTTCAGGTTAAGCCGAGCGGGTCACGGTGCTCTAAGGGTATATTTCGGCAGAATTACTTCCGCCTGCCGCCGGGTCTCAACAACCTCCTGATACCCAAAGAATGAATGGCTCGAGTGCTCATACAACCACAGATAAAATACACATATAATGTATTGATGTTTTGATTATTCAAAGTAAACGCAAACACTTGCTTATTTAATATATATATATATATATATATATATATATATTTATTTATTTATTTATTTAATTTCTTATGTAACTAATTAACATCTGCTTATGTATAATATCGTGTAAAATAAAGGCTAATGAGCAACCATAAAACACTTGTTACCCTAATTCACTTCAATAATTTCTAATATTTCAGCATCACTTCCAAAACCAATCGCGAACACTTCACAAAATAACCTAGTTTAGAAATTCATTGAAATTACTAAATTCACAAAGCCGAGAAACATCATAGAATGACATCTTCACCCTAAAATACATTTTCAAAGATCTAATGCTCAATTTACGTAAAAACAATAAGGGTATCTAAACTGTGTTTTACGTGATATAATACCAATTTCCCGCCTACTGGTGTTAGTCACGTTATAAAAACACAAATATACACATTTTGATTTTGCACTCTGAAAGAATTTAGTACGTTCAAGTCAACTTGTAAGTGAAATAAAACTTCTGATTCTCCCTTTTCTTTTAATTATGTGTTTGATCCTTCTGTAACTTTAGTTAAGTACTTGAGCGCTCTCAAGTTTTACTATAGTATTAGAAGTTAACTCGTGCGTAACTTACCATGATATATAACGTCTCTTAATATATATACGTATATACTACCTTGTTTTTTGTTTGTCAAATCTAAAAGATATAACGATCATATAATTAACCCTAGTTAACACCAATGAAATGGTTGTTCCCATCTTTCCCCTTTTAATTTTACTATTTGAAGCAAGTACTTCAATGCCGGGGATCATCATTTAGTTCAAAAGGCTAAATAAAAATATTCCCCACAACTGATTCTTGAACTTTCTCGCTCTTACTATTTATCCAGAAATTTAGAGTAGTACAGATACTTGGGGCGTCCCCCCCCTTAAGGATGCGCAAATATGATTATCAAAGCATATAAATTGTATCTGAAAGTACACATTTAAAAATAAAGTTTTAAAAACGACCGTACTTATATTACTATTATTAATATTGGCAAATAGCATGTACAAGGCATATACAAAAAATAGCTTACACGGGATGCTAAGGCGCAACAAAACTAGTGTTTAGAAATTACTTTAACTAAAAAGTGGGGCGCAATAAAGAAATATTGTGAACCACTGGTATGGACTACAGCACCAATACCTTTGCCTAATATAACATAAAAACATTATATGGTGAAAAACAGTCTCAGACTAGATGCGTCTCCCGATCCTTTCAGTTCAGACATGAATCTGTCATTGAATACAATTATATTTTGTCATCTCAAGTACAATACTTACTTACCAGCTAACGTGGAAAAATTATTCGAGTTTAGTCTGAGAACATGTTAATCTCAGTCTTCAAATGAATTATGTGCTTTTTTTAAGCAATTATTCCTATTCTGGACATAAAGTTTTTCATTTCCAAAGTATTGACATAAACGTAAAACCATATAGGATTCCTTAACTTAGAAATGTTCGAATAATCATGATGTCAAGCAACCATTAAAAACATGAAGCCTTAATTTCCCAATTTGAGTTCAAATTTCCTACGCACCCCTTTATAAGTTTATTTAAAAACCCGTTTCAACAGTTACAGAAGAATAAGAGAATTATCACAACATATTCCCAAATATTTTAATACGAGAGACTGTAGACGTTAATTTTATGCTAAATTATGTACGACCTTAATACAGAACTTGTAATACAAGTTGTATTCAGTATTCAATGGTTAGTTTACTTAGGCTTGGAACTTAATTTGGTACACGAAGATCAATAATTAAACGGCCGGTATACTTAATTCTGCAATCTGTAAGTGGTAACTATGAACTAGAGTAATATTATTATCAATTTTAAACACTACTCAACGCTTTCATAATTATCGAGCCAACTTTAAAGTGATAATTTCTCCAAGTAATATTAATTCGCATTTATTGTGGACAAATCACAGACTGTTGAACACCCACCTGTAAAAATCAGCGATGTCCAGATGCAAAGTTGTTGATACAAAAACAAGTTCTTCATCTTGAAAATGTCTTTTATTCTACGTTTGTTATTCACTACTTATAACTCAGTTTATTGCCTTGTGGTAATTAATATCATAACTTCATATTAAGCCGAAAAGTTATTTATTTAACCTTCAGTAACTAACGCGGATGATTTAACCAGCGAAAGATTAAAGCAGTTACGCGAACAAGTCTCCGACTGAACACTTTATGACGAACGATGCGCGTTACAGCAACTATAGAGCCAAGTTAAGAGGCAGGAGGAGAATAATGTACTACTGCGCCAAAATAAAGTAGTCCTATAAATAAATATATCTATCACTATCAGTAATAATAGACAAAACATGCTTCCAATTTTATCATTTTTCAATATCGAAAACTATTCAAAGCTGTATTAGCACCTTGTTAACATACATTATAGTATACATATATTTAGTTTTACGAATACAAAATTGATGGTGGCTTTTGGCTCTTATGAAATGTGATTCAACCGCCGTCCCTAATTTAGCAGTGTAAGACTAGAGGGAAGGCAGCTAGTCTTCACCCCCACCGCCAACTCTTGGCTACTCTTTTACCAACGAATAGTGGGATTGATCGTCACATAATAACGCCCCCGTTTATTAAGTAATGATAGTTAATACGATTTTTAAAAATCTCAAAAACATCATTAAATAGACGACTAAAAGGATAATGAACATCATTTATGTACAAATATGTTTCATGGTTATAAAACTAAAGGATATACATTTAAACAGTCAGTTGTTAAAATTAGGTTTGGTAGGAAAATTTCAATTTTAATGACCTCCGTTTCTGTTGACTTTTAAGTGCGTATTGTTTTAGTGTATATATTGGATTATGATTAACGTTTTCTAACAAAAATATTTAATAAAGCTAGAAGAACATCGGTTAATTTTGCTTATTCACAAAGGTTACCATTTAGTGGTTAATAACCTCTACAAAATATATTTCTAATACTTCTCAGATCAGTAATTTCAAATACTAATTATACACTTCTATCACACTGTAATTTTGGTTGACGTGTATGAATTCATGGTTAATAGTTTCGACTAAGTCTGCTTTTTGACTAATGCACTCTCGAGGACACTGCTAAATGAAGTTGAAGTTAACTTATTTTCTCAGCTCCAAGTCGTAACGGACCAAGATTATAATGATTTACGATATTTTTGAATGCACATTGTTTCAGATGTATCCCTGTGGTATATTTAACTAAACATACTTTTCCTTTTATATCGGCAGTGTGAGTTGCGCAAGGATATGAAGTTGGTTCTTTCCGAACTTTCTGCCATTGTAGACGCTGATGTGATACGTGAAAAGTTGCTTTAAAATTTCTGAAGCTCCTGGAAAGATGTACTTTTTTTTGTAAATTACACGTTAAACTCATGTAGATTCTACTGAGAAAACTAAGCTGCTAGTTCTGACACCTTTTGCTATATTTAAGTATTTGTAAGTATACAAACACTCTTTAAGACTTGGCCTGCAGTCCTTAATTTTTTAACTACTTCCTAATTCTTCTGGAATACTAACCTATCATAGGTCACGTTTTGCAGCAGCATGTGCAAGTAACAGAAAATTTAGGTTACATGCTAAATGAATGATTACATGCAACAGAGAATACGAGGAGCGATAAATCATGTCATCCAACGCAGTCTACATATAGGAAAAATTTGAAAAATCGTTTCTTAAACTTTCTCTTAGTTTTCGAGGTTTCTGGGATATATGACATGTTGTGTTTTTACTTTCTGTCACTTGAATAACCTCCTGAAATAAAGGTAGGGTAAGACAGCCACCTTGCCTTTGAACGCAGTTTCACCAATTAAATGTATGCAATGAAAAAGCAAAAGGATTGAAAATGAAACCTTGTTTTTATAAATGTAATTTCTAGTTACAACAAACATTAACATAGACCTTTTTCTAATATTAAAAAAAATCACTTCTTCTGGTTATGGGCAGCTCTACTTATAAGGTTGCATGGAACAGATTCCCCAAATAGAGTAAATTGACTCCTATCTAACTTACAACAGCAATTTGAAATAAATGATGTATTTAGCAACTGTATTTAAGTAAGTGAAATCATCATTTAAATGCTCCCAGTAGGGATTGGGAAGGGCGTGTGCTATGTGCATGTTATGCTTTATCTTGGAAAATGGCTAAAAAACGCGGATAATAGTGTGAGTAAGCCGTGCGTCGTAAAGCCGTATGTTGTGGAAAATTAGAGGGGGTGTCATCTTACCCTCAGTCATAAATCATAAAGCAATCACACATTATAAAAAATCAGTGAACTTCAACTATGTTTCTTTGCGGCATATTCAGCTTTCTATACTTCCTCATTTTTTAAAATTAATATTTCCTGGTAATGTAATATATCTACGTCGAAACCATAAAAACTTCAAGGTGCTAACCAGAGATCAAAGTTGCTTAAAAACCAAAAATTTAAGTCGGTTTTTTATCATTCACGCATTTAGGTACGCATTTAAACTATTTTATTTGTAAAATGTTAACTATAGAAAGTATAACAGTGCAGAAAAAAAAGACATTCTGTAAACCAAACATCTCAGATTCAAGTCAACGAACGTATATTAGAGTCGAAGATGTGGCACCAAGCACAACTTTTATTATAGTCGTAGTTAAGTTCGATGTATTTTCTCTATTTTTTTGTAAGTTTCATCACATCAGTTTGGTAAAATGTAGGTGAGGTGTCATAAACCCATTTTCAAACAGTTGCTTTAAGAAACACCATTGTAGGTGAGGTGTCATAAACCCATTTTCAAACAGTTGCTTTAAGGAACATCATTGTAGGTGAGGTGTTATGAACCCATATTCAAAAAGTTGCTTTAAGAAACACCATTGTAGGTGAGGTGTTATGAATCCATATTCAAACAGTTGCTTTAAGAAACACCATTGTAGGTGAGGTGTTATGAATCCATATTCAAACAGTTGCTTTAAGGAACATCATTTGTCTCGAATCTTTGTTTTCGTAAATTGTCTTTGAGTTTGATGAAATAAAAAAGAAGGAAAACGCAATGTGTTTGATCAGAATTATATACGAGATGAGGAAAGTTGTCCATTCGAACTTTTTAAACTGTGGTCATAATACATCAATGCTAGAAGAACATTGTCTAACACAAGATACGTATTGACCGAGTAAGAACTCGCTTACACCTTATGTTAGCGATTATAAAAAAAAACTATAAAGATTTAAATATCATAAAATCTAAGAAATATTTTAATATGTCTTCATGTAATATTTATTTACACGAAGAAATGTAATATCTATTTACACATCATTTCTATCAGATCTTGCATTATGATTTATTCCTAAGACGTGTGTGTGAGTAAATTTATAAAGTTATTCCCACTTTTAGTTTACTTTGGAATAGGTTGAATATCTGAGGTGGTCTCAGTGAAAGCCCTTGCTTATTAAGACGGCTTATTAAAGCTTGAAATCGAGTAATATCTTTCTACTTACATATGAAAGACGTTTGCTTGTTGTTAAGCGCAATGCCGTACCCACCACGGGTATCGAAACCCAGTTTTTAGCGTTATAAGTCTTCAGGCTTATTGCTGAACCACTGGGAGAGCACGTATGAAATAAAGCACAATTATCAAGAGATGTTATTGGTAGTAGAGCTCAGCAAAAAAAACATTGTATAGACAATTCCTAAAGTTAGCAGTACGAAGAAGTAATAATGAATTTATATTTGAAAAAGAAAATAAGCATCAAACTATTGTTTGGTCATTAAAGTTTCGTTCAGCCAACTTTCAACGGCTGGTTCCTAGTCTTCCCTGTAACCGTTACGAGGGTGGTTTTTCCGCATAACAGTTGCCGAAGGGTAATCGGCAGCTGGTATTCAGGACCTGCTTGTCACGTGGCAGACTAGCGCGCGTCGCTTCGTTCCATTTAAAAGTTAAATACCAGCCTTTACTCAACGGACACAATCAAGAAAAAAGGTGGCACATGGCGACCCCTTTATGAGAATCATCTCTCAAAAGAAACGCAGTCTCGAAGCACTTCTTTAAATACGGCATACTTCCAACACACAATAAGTGTTTTTTTTTCCCCCTTTTTTCGCGCCTTTAACAAAAGTCTAATAATACATTACACTCGAGAATATTCAGGTTCCCTCGTCAAATATTGTACTAGCTTGCTTTGTCAGAGGAGTGAACTGAGTATCAGCTGTACATTCACTCTCTATACTGAATATTCGGTTGATTTAGTCAATTCTTCTTTAAATCTGAGAACCAAACTTTAGGACTCCTGAATGCAAGACAGCATACCTTATTATACTTAAGAACATATAGTTATAGATACAGGTTCATACGTTATACAGGGGACAGTATACTAAGCGTTTACAGATTCTGGCTTACACCTCCAACCACATTTCATGTGAGTCATGATTAGGTTTCCGTCGTATTGTTAAGACTTTTTATTAACTGGCTCTAACGGTTTTGCTTTTATCAACAAAGGCTGAACACGTGCCTGTGAGTTTCAACGGATAAGCTTTACCAACCACATAACACAAACTAAACAGCTGACGTTTATTTGGAAAGCTTTGGTTCATCAAGAACAATTGCTATAATTGAAAATCTCGTCTTCAAAGCATATGTAAAACCGGTGTTTAAGATTGTTCTCAAATAAAATAAAAAATTTCTGTTCTTTTTTAATTATGAGGGTATGTAATGTAATGTAAATTTGTTCCCAAAAATAATCCAAATGCTTCAAGGTTTTATAAACAAGTCATATTTTCATACAACTAATCCACATGCTTCACATTTTCAGGAATATCAAACTTTTATATCAATACGAACAATTAGATTGAACATTTTATAAGCTTTGGTTTTTGAAATTTGACTAATTGTTATTCTATTTCTTTATTCATTTCTAAGACACTTGAGTAGAAATTAGATTTTTTTTATATCGGTAAGGGAATTTGATCACGGGCTCAAAAAATGTTCTATTTCGAGTATATTATCTCTAACTTTAAAGCTTATCTGTACAATTTTTGGTAATTTCCAGTGCTTTGCAATGCTGAAAAGTTTAAAATAGTTCAAGGTTTATTTGTGTTGGATTTCGCGCAAAGCTACCCAACTACGTTCTGCGCATAGCTGTTCCTAGTTTTGAATTTATAGATTAGAGGGATGGCAGCTTGGATTTAGCATCGTCGTTTATATACGGGGTAATATTTTCTTCTTA